TCAAGTATTTTAATACTGTTCGCTGTAAAAATACTATATTTATAATAAAAGAAATTTGTCGACTGCTGGATTGTTAACCGAAAAAAACTTTTTTTTCAAAATATTCCAGTAAAATAAAATGTTCAAGTATCTCCACTACAACATTATCTCTTTTTGAAAATTTTTTGCCATGTCACCGCTTTCAGAATTCCCCGAACAGTGAAGTTCCTAAGAAACACTAACAAAATTTTAATAACAAAAATTTTCAAAAAATCCGTCATGGTGGCATTAAACTTTTGCTTCGCCTTTATAATTTCAAACTTTTTGTTATTCTTAAGACAGTAACGGTTACTTTCTGAAGTCAGCAAGGCATCTCACAGGACTTAAGAAGTGACACTGATCAAAACGAGGTGATGATGCCCAATAAAACCGGCAACATCCCAAAACGGTTAAGGTCTGGCCAGGTTTCGTCGAAAAAATTGTTGAGCTGGTAATCCCTTCAGGAAACGAATGTCACGATCGCTAAAAGACTGACGCAGCGCTGATCAATGCAACTGGAAAAGTTGCCGGCTGGACAACTGAAGTGGTGAAGGACGGCTGGTCGAAGTAAGCAAGCAGGTAAGTAAATAAGTGAGTGGACAATTAAGTAAATAAGCGAGAAACTGAATCGTGGTCGTATGGAATCATTTTTTTCCCTCACATAACTAAAAAATAATTTCAGCGCAGTGCAAAAAAACAAACAAATCGGCATACTTGAGCGTAATCTGATATGCGCGCCATTCGGACGGTCTTCCTCGTAAACCAACTTGTTCTCTACCCATTTTTGTTCTATCGTTAGCCAAAAATTACACTGCAATTTGCATTTTTCAGTAACAAATTTGAAAAAAAAAAAACAAAACTATGATAATTTTCAACAAACTCTTAGTAAAAACTTAATTCTGGAAAATTTAAAAAAGTCAGAAAACAAAAAAGAAACTAAGAATTTATTTCAAAAAATATGTATCTGGTAAAAAACACTTGCAAAAAACATACAGTAAAGCAGAAGTTGCAAATATATCGGGAAGAAAATAAAGAGGGAAAGGGGTCGGAATGTTTTGAACAGTGAAATCCAGACTTACTTCATGTTCCAAATCGTTCAATATTCTGTCAATAGAAATGTGTACAGCAACTGTTATATTTGATGATGGGTCTGGAAATAAAAAAAGTTGAGAATTTCAAGATTATTATGAGGAATCTAAAAAATTCGATTTTAAGTAATTCCCAGAACTTATGCACTACTCAAACTGCCGCTCAAAAATCATTTGTGGGCGGTAAAACGGAGTGCCAGAGCAGCCCTACCCATAGGAGACATGGCTGGTTTCGCTAGATGTAGCAAGGTTCTTGAAATTTGAACTGGAAACAAATAAAATTTGGCGGTGATGAGGGAGAGACTCATTTTTAAAGTTAGATTACATAAACAAATTATAGATGTTAAAAAATTCACAAAAATAATTTCTCGTAAGCTTCACTGCAAGGAATTGAAAAAGAATATAACAGAAGATTGCAGCTGTTATCTGGTAAAATATTTTATTTTGAAATTTTGATGAGGAAGCACGGACTATAAGATAGCATAATTGAAGATGAGGGTCGAAAATCGCATTAAAAAATATTTCTTGTGTTTTTTGTGTCACTGGAATTTTTGTTTTTATTAAAAACTAACAAAGGATTACCAAAAAGTGGGAAACTGATATAGCAAAATTACCAAGTACAGCCGGAATGTCGGTCTGGGGATCCGATGTTAGTGATTTTACTAGGATGCTTCCACTGGCTAGGCGCAGCTACACGGGCCCTCGATTCTGAACGTACGTAGGCAACGCATGCCAATACAGTTCCGGCACATTTTGTGAAATTTTGATGACTGCCACAAAGTGAAATTTGTGAAATAATTTTTTAAATGTTGTCCGTCGCCTATTTTAAATATTTAAATGAACAGAATTTATGCGTTTTTAACAAGAACATTTTTCGTTGCAAAAAGTGGACGGTACCTGGGAATCGATAGTTTCTTAGCAAATTCTCAATAATTTCACGATCGCTCAGCAAATTCTTGCGCCCATTTCGGTCATTAATTATTACATCATCAGCGCTGAAGATTTATCAAATTCTAACTTTTGACCTCTTGTCTGCAAATTTTAGGAAAAAAGGACTCTTTTCTGCTAATTTAGATCAATTTTTTAACTTCTCGATTAATATGTACAATTGCATGTTAAGTCAATAAACCACAAATATATTCTTATGAAAGATGATGTGTCAATTTTGTAGATATCATATAAGCGATAAAAGAAATAACTAGGAAAAACACTGGATTATTATTTGAAAAAGAACTTAAATCTGATTATTTCATAAGTATTTCACTGATGATCTCGAGAAATGCAGAAAATTACAGAAAATTAAAAAAAAAAGAACTTACTCGATGACGGTTTGCTCATCTTCCCAAACAGTCCTATTTTCATGCTGCGCATAAATAATCCCCAGAAAATTCGTAATTATAATAGAGTTTAGCCATAATAATGGAAACATTCTTTCCGATCAGTGCGAACAATTGAGTTTCTCCCAGAAAACAGCGCGAGGGAGACAGTATCAGCGTGTGTGAAGTCAGCAGCAATGATTTCTTGAAGTTCCAGGAAGTTATCTGAGCAAACAGATGACCAAGCAGCAAATCTCCGGGGTCAACGTTTTCTTCCGAAAGCGAATTTTGTTGTTCGCGTAACGATCACACCCCATGCAGAGCGATGACTACTACAGCAACGATGATGCCATCATCCATATGTGTGTATCGATGAAGGCAGAACTGCGTCTATCGCCTCTAAATTACCATTATTTCAATCTACAATTTATTGTCAAACTTCTAAATTATTTGTTTTTGAACATCATTCGCGCAATAAAAAAATGGTACAGCAAAAGTTCATCTTCGACAACACACTATTCACCAATAAAACTCAAAATCCAGTCCACAAAATTATTTTTTCCGGGGCGAGGACGCCCGTCTTTCACTCAGGATTTAATGAATTGGATAGAAATTCTTGAAGTTAGGAAAAAAGAAGGAGCATTTTTGAACAAATTTTTCGAAAAAACTGGAAAAACCCTAATTATTGAGAAAACTGAAATGCAGAAATTAATGAAGAATTTTCGAAAAAAAAAA